TATGTTGGGCGATCCGCCTCTTTATGGGTGATCCGCCCCCTCCAAGAGGACTTCGACCCCTTCCAGCGCATTTTAGAGGTAGGTTTTGAAATTAAAGACATTTCCTATAAACTTTAGTTGGGCTGGGGCATGTTTTGACCGCCTAATGACCAAGTAGTTGAAACCCTGCCTGGACTGTTGCTTTAAGTACGAGGAAGCTCACATGGTCTTAGTTGCTTTTTTCTCTGGGATTGGAATTAGCTTTTTTTCGAACGTGGACGTAGCCTCGGCAGCGCTTTGCTAAAAAACAGAAAAATGAGCGTAAAGAGGCAGAAAAATGGCAACTTTCGAAATCATCTGTTATTTTCCCTGCAAAACTGCGTACCTGTGCAAGTCCAATTATTTGTTTGCAATCGGCTCCCATAACTGCCCCAGTTGCTTACGCAACCCCCTGATTTTCAAATTTCTGGCCTAGTTGCGACCTCCATGAACCGGCATAGCATCATCGTTCCTGGAGTCAACTTGGAATGGTGTTGTTTGTTTCTAATTAACGTGGAAATTTGATTCTGCGTATTTTCCGAAGAATGCATCGCTTCATAAATTTAAGCCATCCTAATATTCCTTCGAAATTTCTCTTTTTTTAACGCTGCTCGGGTACAAAAAGTACTTAAATATATTCAATACTGTCTGCATACGACAGGAATGAGGAGGGCCCGTATTTTTTTGTTAGATTTATTAAGAAGAAACATTTACATATTAAGCAGATGCATCCATTAGCAATATCACCTTCGGTCAGCCGCCGCTGCAACTAAATGTTCGTTGTAGAGCGCGCGTAGGCGTCTCACCTGAAAAATATCCAAAAATTAGATCCTTAGTTTGACATGGACCATTTCTTCCACATATGCCAAAAAATGCAGTTCTTTCTGCTCAAAGGCAAAACGGAAGTGTATTTCTTCGGTATTTCAAAGGTACATCCCGGGATGAGTTCAGGTGGATTGGAGAGGATTGAGCAGCTCACTGGAGTAACAGGTGCCTCGTCTTCTCGGCTTTTAGGTAGAGAGCAAGGGCGTGAGAACCGTGTAGAACGCTTAAGTGGTTCCCATTGCCTTAGCAAAGCTGAATTTAATCGGTGATTAGGCCTTTGAGCAGCGATTTTGATGGATTTTTGTCCTTTCTCTATTGCCTCACAACTTGCACAAATGCTTCCTTTTTCGTGTGCGAGAATCACACTAGTTTGATCCTGGGGCGTGCCTTTGAGTTGAGCAAGCATTGTTCGGTTTCATGTGATATTATGAGTCCTGTAGGAATTGTACCTCGACTTTGATGGACTCATAATTGGTCTCTTTTTCAATGGCCTTCAGCTTCCGCTAGGAGGCGGGCGTGCCTCTCATTCAGCATTTCCAGTTCTCGTCGCAAGCTTCGTATCTGGAAAAGAAAGTGATCGGAGTCGTTTTCTGATGAAGGAGTTGATATGGAATTTATTTCAGCTCCTAAAGAATGCTTTAGCAGATACAAATAGAAAAAAAAACTGTAGACAAAATGAAGTCGAATTTAGTGGTTTAATCCTTCAGATACACTCCGCAGGTTTCCACGCCTACCTCAGCGTATTCAGGATTGCTTTCCAATTGTTCAGTGATCTGTCTCAGTTGTTCTTCGAGAGCGTCGCGGCGCTGCTCAAGGCCGGGCAAAACCCGTTCTAGGTTCCTTCACGACTTCCTTCAAGTTCCTGCAATGATGCAAATTCAAACAGAAAGTAGAGCTCAAAGACATGATTGCTCAAATCCCTGCAGTTATCCATGTCATCCATGAAAAGCTCTTCGACTTCATCCCCATCAGTTTCTGGTAGGAATTTTACAGAACTTGCGATCGAGGCTGCGATTGCGCAGTCGCAAAAGCAGATTCGCATTGTGAAAAAGGACTTGATTGGTTTGAGGCTGCAAACCTGACTTCTACTTATCGTGATCACTATAAGGACAGCAACAGCCGCAAGTAACGTACCCTAATATTGTTTTCGACATCAGCAGCAAGTTGATCAAGATCGCTGTATACGTTGCGCTGGTCCTCCATTTCTTGCATTTTCTTGTCGAAAGACTGCAACTCGGCATTAAGTCGCGCCTCCTGCTCGTCCATCGCGATAATCTGGCTCTTTGAGTCGGACGTACACTGAAAAATCCTATCAGTTCTACTTCTGCTCAACCCATCTCTAAGGTTTGTAAATTTAAAACTTCTCTAATCAAGTCGCGCGCAAAGTGCAGGGTGGCGAAAAGTTACGTTCATGTGACATTTCGCTTCGTTTAAAACATTGTATGAGGAATATATGTGTGCCTTTCCTTCCAAACGGTTTATTGTTAGTTATTGGTTTGCAGAAGAAGGCATTTGTTTCAAAAGTTCTGAAGAAGATCTGCTCAAGTTGGAACGCGATGCTCGGCAACCATACAGCGGACCTGTGGACTAAATGATTTCTTTGAGGCTCACAGGTGCGAGACTCACTCCAAATGTGTTCAAATGACAGGAAGTACGAAGCGCTCAATGAACCTTATCGTATATCGAGTGGGCAGTTTCCCACCGTTCAAGCAGAGCGAGAGAGGAAAAATAAGAAGTTGTGGGATTTTTCTGAAGTGCGGCCATCTAGGACGCCCTGAGTTTTCACAAATAATAGTTCACCTATTTGAGTGCCTTACAACTTTCAGAATCACCTTTATTCTTCTATACCTGCTAGCAGTAATATCCGTAAATGGAAAGTACCCGCAAAAATTCAATTCAAAACTTGATGATTCGAGGTTGGATCAGTGCTTCGGGCAAGAATTCCAAGGTTTTTATCGATAAAAGCGCGGAATCAACGGGAAGGTCTATGAAGAAGGATATCCTTAGGAAAGCTGTGGTCCCTGGAAGCAGAATCATAACAATTCTATTCTATCTTTCTACAGGAAGGCGCTCGGGCCCATGGACCAATGCAACGATTCGCTTCTTCGAAACCAGTATCGGTGTTTTTTGGCGCTGAATTCGTAGTCTGCTTACAGCCCGAATTCTGGTCCAGTAGACTTCTTTAATGGGGTTTTTGTTGTATAACTTTCATGGAATCGAAATGCAGAAATTCTAGTGATACTGAATCATAGTTCGAAGTTTTACGAAAATGATTACTTTCGGAATTTTGTGAACAAGAAATAATGCTTGGACGTGTTGTATGGCGCACGTAATTTTTCGCCACCCAGTACAGGATCAGATTTCTTGAAGGCTGTTGTTCTAGTACAGTATGTGTTTGCAACTATGTTCTCTTTGGTTACAGTAGCTTATGAGTAACGCCTCCCAATTTAGGCAAACGCCAGGCGAAGGAGTATTGGGTTGTTCGAGGAGTTTCCGCCGTCTTCCGTCTTCACATTCGAATGCCTCATTTCTGAATGACTCCAAAGAAACAGCTGCCGCTTCAAATATCGGCAGGAAAGCGAGTTTCTCGCTGTCTAAATCTACTGTTACTATCACCTCGAACTACTTTTCTCCTTTCTGAAGGTCTTGAATACAACATACGAGCTGTTATGTTTTTGTATGAGTTTTTCGTTTCCTCTCAAATTTGGACAGAAAAGGGCTGAAGCAAGTCGAGGTATCAACTGCGCATTCGGTCCTGATCCATAAAAAATTGGCTGTGCAGTTTGATTCAAAATGTCTTTCTCGCGATGATAAAAGCTTCGAAGCAGATTAGGGTGAAGGCCGGATATCGGAGACTGACAAACGATTAAGTGAGAATCAAACCAAATTGGCATAGAAGTGCTGAAAAGGTTGTTTCCTGATCAGGCGTAATTGAGCTGAGGTTTCCAAATATACAGTTGTCTAAAAAAGGTCCGCGGAAGTGGACAAGTTGGTGCCGCCGGCTCTTTTCCCAGCAGTAACACAGCCCAGGGTCAAGCGTGCGTTGAGGAATCCTCGACACGTCGCAGGGGGGGGGGGTCGTATTGGCCCGCTGGGTGGAAGAGATCGAGCCATTTTGATGCAGTGGGATCATCACCGTCGGAAGACAAATATCAAGGATGAGTCGATGCCAGGCCAGAGGATTTCCAATGAAAATGATATTTCACCCACACAAAATTTTCGTGATTCTGAGGCGTCCGGTAATTCTTAGTTACTTCAGTGTTTTATCACCACACAAGTTAAAGAATCTGAATTTCGCACGCTTTCCAAGAGATATTTCATCTTTCAAGTAAGACCCCGAATCTGAAGGGATGTGAGGTACACGGCGCATCCGAGAAAGGGTCTAGTTGTTGCGCGCGCTTCAACTACGGCTCCTTGGACAAACAACCTCAATTCAGGAACAATCGAGAGAATTCTGAAAGTGTCCGTGCGCATTTACAGGGAGGTGTACACCATTCAACATTGCGTTAACGGACTCTTCAGGGTTAAATTATAAACATGTAACCTTTAAAGTTGAGAAACGCTAATCAATCACTTTTCTTAGAAAGAGAAAAGCAGTGATTCCAAATCTGCTCTTACTTTAGTACATAATCGCCCTTAAAAGGATATACAGCCGTTGAAATAGTGCCAATGTAGCGAAAAAGTACCTTTCGGCGGTACTCGTGCGAAAATCCTCAACGTAGCCGTTTTTTTAATACTGGACGTTTGGAGCAGTTCTAGTAAGCATTTGATAGAGCAAATCTTCTAGTTTATGATGGCGTATTTACTTTTGGATTGGATGAGTTTGAACGGAGTTATGGCTTTAGGAAAGTAAAAAAACTCGCACTCATCACAAATTTTCCTCGTTAATTTTGCAAAAATCCTCAACGTGGCCATTTTTCGAATACTGGACGTATAGAGCTGCTTTAGCAATGGTTTGATAGAGAAAATCTTCTAGTTTTGTCTGCCATATTAACTTTTCGAATTTGACGAAAATGAAGCAAGTTATTGCTTCGGAAAGTGTAAAAACTCGTGCTCATCTCGAATTTTCCTCGTTAATTGATCTAAATTTGTTATTTCTTATAACTTTTTGTAATTTCATACTGATTAGAAAAAGCTCTTCACAAAACTCCCAAATCTGCTTTCAGATTGAAAATTCGTTAACTTTGAAGAAAGTTATAATCATTTGAATATTTGTTCAAATTTCAATAGTAAATAAGCTGCTCCACGGTCAACGCCAAAGTCCAGTCAACACACAGCTGGCGAAGGCGGTTAAAAAGCTTCTTTCAACTGAAGGGCTACGTGCAAATTGAGAACCACAATCTGTGTAGTACTAGAATTTGGTAAGTCTTGTGGAGGAAATAAATAAAGAAGAGATGTTGTCATAGTATGCCATTTTTAGTGCTAGTTTGTCGTTTTTGCTCTGTTTCTCGTTTGCTCGTTTGGTAGGACTCATCAATAATGATTCTTTGACTTTTTCACTTTTGTACTTCTTAAACGAATTTTTTTTGTGGACGGTGGGGTAGCAGGGCTTTTTTATGAGCAGTTTTGGGGGAGAATTAAACAACAACCTTTTCATAGTTCGGCTTTTGAAGAGGGTTGTTTCATGGACTTCGGCCTCGGCGGAGGGGGGGGGGGGGGTCGTATTTCCAAATTTTCCTCGACGCCTCGCTTGACCCTGCACAGCCCCATCTCGCACCTTCAGCACTGCACAAGTTGAACTAGCTGAGCTACAAATTTGTGCTGCGACCATCTTGCACAATAAAACTCTTGCCTACCAACTATCACTTTTCCAGCCACTTGGATAGCTTTTTCAATGAAATCAAACGTTAAAACCCAACATAATGGCAAAATGACCTTCACCGATTTTTTCGCTGGCTGAGCTTTAGCCTTTTTATCTTCTTAACCTATCAAACCACCATCTCGTTGACAAACATATGAGGATCGTAACAGATTTCATTTCGATCCAAAATGTTTAATTTAAGCCGAGACACTGAAATTTTAAATCGGCGGAAACTTTCCGAACACCTCAATATGTCGGCTCGACCACAATTTTAATGTGAATGTGCTTTTGCTTCTGTTTCTGAACACATTTTAGATTTCGATTCTCTCAAATAAGCCAGAATGAATTCCAAGTATTGGTCTAAATGTCGAGAAAAATAGCTGTGCTCCGTCTGTAGGGATAAGAAACATAGCCTTGGAAAGTGACCATGGCTGCGAATAAGCTATAAATCATGAACTAACGGTCCTGTAGTTCTTTTGCAGAAGCTTTCCCATGGAGTAGACCGTCTGTATCCATCGCGGTCACGTTGAGCTCCGTGTCATGCACCTGAAATTTAGAAAAAAATATTGAGCTTCTTTTTGGAGTCTTTATTACTCTGAGTTTGTACGAAGTGAATATGGTTTCAACTTAAACGAAAAGGTAGGGTCGCCAGGAGGTTTGATTGTAACAATGGATTCGAAAGAATTTCCAAGTTTTTTCTTCTTTATTCAAACCGAGTAATAGCAGCTGTCGAAATGCCGATTTTTGCCGTCTGGATTTTTCAACTTCTAAGCTCTATACTGAGTACAACTACGTTGTTGAAGAAGAACGACAACCACGGTTTCGTAGAACGGAATGAGTACGCGATGCTTACACTGATTGAATTTATACCTCGAAGAAAAAAAAACGCTACGATATTATGCTCCAATCTAGTACATATGCACGATATGGATACTGCCGGCTTTTGA